GACTCCCACATGGCCACTGCGGTGCAACTCCCGGCCCTGGCGGCTTGCCTTCTCACTTTCTCTTCCTCTCTCTGTCTCTCTCTGGTGAGTGCATGTGACTTAACAGCAAATAGAATTCTTCTTTATAAAAAATAGATGCTGGGGACCAGCAGTTAGCGTAATGGCTATGTCACTGGACTCCCACGTAGTCGACCGCGGTTTGAGTCCTGGACCCGGTGGCTTAAACTCATGCCGGGCACGTGTGCGTGAGTGCCCAAGGTCCCGAGAGGAGAATGGAGAAGAAGGCATTGTGGTGTGTCCATCCCCATGGGGGGTGATTTCTTGCTATCTGTCTCTCTTTCTGGTGAACGCACGCGCCCCATAACAAAAACCTCTCCAAAAAAATAATAATAATAAATGCTGTGTATATTTTAATATGCAAATTTCCTGAGGGTGATAAGAGGACTAGGAGGATCCTTTCCTTTTTCCTGGTCTTCCCATTAATTTTTTTTTTATTTAATTTTTTTTTTGAGAGGTTTTTGCTATAGGGCACATGCACCACCTGGAAAACCAGAAAGACAGAGAGACAGAAAGTGAGAAATCACCCCCCAGGGGAGATGGCCACGCCGCAATCCCTTCTCCTCCATTCTCCTCTCAGGATCTTGGGCACGCACGCACACACACCCGGCGTGTTTTAAGCCACCGGGTCCAGGACTTGAACCACAGTCAACTACATGGGAGTCCAGCGACATAGCCATTACGCTAACTGCTGGTCTCTGGTCTTCCAATTTTTAACAAAGTGATCAGGATGACTTTCGAGGTTTAAGCTATGCAAATACTGCACCCAGCTGCACGCGGGGTGTGGAGGAAACCGACTTGGAGAACGCCGCCTTGCTCTCGCCTACAACCATGATGCGGTGTGGAGCTCCGGACCCCAAAACAGCCAGTGAAGTCCGGGAAAGTGAGGTGGGGAGGGTGGGGACCCGGGAGGAGGTGCCCCCTGCGATTTACTCTGGGGCAGGTCTGCTCTCAAGAGCCAAAGTCCCGGCGGAAGGAAACGTGCGAGACCCCGACAGGGCCGCAGGCACGGCGGGCATGAAGACCTTCCCCACCCGGCTGCGAACAGGGTAGAAGAGCAGAGTAACTTAAGAACATGATTCCCGGGGCTGTGCCACCGCGAGGGGGCGTTGCGAGTCGGAAGGCCTCCCTGGCTACGCGGGGCACAGGTGCCCACACCGTGAGGCTGCTGAGACCGGTGGGCCGCAGCACGGGCCCAGCTCAGGTGCGTTCTCTGGCTGATAGAGTAAGTGAATACACTTAAAAAGAAAAATTTTGGGCCAGCTCCCACATGGCTAATGGCAGTTCGACTCCTAGCCACAGAGGCTTGAAAAACATGCCAGACACATGTGTACGCATGCCCAAAATCTACTGATAATGAAATGGAGAAGGGATTTCTCCCCCTCTGGCCAGTGCATGCGCATTCTAGCAACTAAACAAGAAAGTTCCAGGCCCAGCCAGCGGCTGCTGGTGGTGAAGGCAGTGGATCCCACGTGGTGATACGCAGTTCCAATCCTGGACCTGGTGGCTTGAAAACACGCCAAGAGCATGTGTATGCACGCCCAAAATCCCAAGAGAGGACCAGAGGGGAAGGGATTGGTGTGTGGTGTGTGATCATCTCCCCTGGGGGGTAATTTCTCAACACCCCCCCCCTTTCTCTAGCAGGCACACACACCCTATAGCAAAAAGAAAATAAAATCACCAACTCTTACATTTTTAAAGAGATTATTATTCAGTCTGACCAGCGAGAGTCAGAGACAGGAAGAGAGAGAGAGAGAAGGCAAGTTGCCAGGTCTGGGACTCCAACCACGGTCAGCCATGTGGGAGTCCAGAGCCTTAACCACCTCACCACCTGCTGGCCCCCAGCCGTGGCTTTTCTGTTAGCATTTATCTTAATGGACTAAGACAAATGATATTTTTCTCATTGAGATTTCTGGTCACAAGGATATGACCCACATAACAAAAGCAGAATGACATTTCCCTGTAGGGTACCTCGCGCTGCAGTTCCCAGGACCTCTGTGCCTGTGGTGGGGAGAGTACCACCTCCGCCCTCCCGCTTGGCTGAGAACAGCCGGCGGCGGGCTTTCTGGCCTGTGTTCCCGGCACTCAACTTGCCCCACGACGTGATCAACCGCACAGCTCCGAGGCACGGAGTCCAGGGCGAACCTCTCTCCCAGGGCCAGGGCCAGCCATGAGGTGAGGCTCTTCAGCCCCTTCCCAGGGCTCCGGGCACATACGCCAGCCTGCCAAGGCCGGGCGGCCCAGCAGCAGTGCAGGCTGGCCGGGTCTACGCACAGGCCTCTGCTAAGGCAAAGCTGCAGAAGTGGGTGCAGTTATGCGGAGGTGAAGGGCACCCTGCGGGAACACAGTGCGGAGCCAAGTGACGTTTCTTTTTTTCTTTTTTTTATTCATTTACTTATTTATTTTGATCAAAGAAAGAGAAAGTGAGAAAGCAAGCCACCAGGTCCGGTACTTGAACCAGGGTTGGCCATATGGGAATGTCCAGCACCTTAACCACCACGCCGCCACCTGCTGGTTACTTGGCGTTTGAAAATTGAGGAAGGAATTAACCAGTCGCCTGTCATTTTAGAGGAACAATTATGTCTTAGACTTTGGAGAGAAGATTTTAGAGAATCAGATCATTATTTTTCATTTGTGTATAAAAATGTTCCCAGGAACCCAGAAATTCACGTAATAAAGAGGCTAGTCCCAGTTTTTGTTTGTTCAATTTTTTTTAAGACATGGGTATCATTTTATTTTGGAGATTTTTTTAAAAGAATTATTTTATTTATTCATTCATTTTAATTTGACTGCGCGCACACGCGCACACGCGCGCACACACACACACACACACACACAGCAAATCGACAGGTTCCAGGACTTGAACCGTGGTCAGTCATGTGAGTGTCCGGCATCTTAACCACCATGCCACCTGCTGGTCCCTTATTCATTCAACTCTTAATTATTAAGACCAAATTACACAGTTCAGTGTACTCTGATTCATTTAAAGTCTAAGATTTAAGTTCGAATTTTGTAGAAAAAGATCTTTAAATTTCTACTGGGCATGTGTGCTGGGCAGAGAGGGAGGGAGAAAGCACCCCCTACTGGGGTGTAGTCTCGCTGCATCCCCTTCTCCATTTTGTCAGGATTTGGGGAATGCACAGACACGCCCCTGGTGTGTTTCGGAGGGAGCTGGGAATCAAACCACAGTTAGTCACGTGGTATCGGCTTTCCACCACAGCGGCTGAGCCACTGTGCTGCCCCGTGTGGTTCCCATGCAGTGCTTCTAGTGAAAGCTAGCGTCGACAATATCTGGGCTGTGTGTGTTTTCTTTCTCTCTCTCTCTCCTCTCTCTTTCTAAGTTTTGCTACAGGGCATGAGTGCTCACCAGAGAGAGCGCTAGAAATCACCCCTCAGGAAGACAGCCATGCCACAACCCCTTCTCCAGTCTCCTCTCAGGATTCTGGGCACATAACACACGCCCGACTTGTGTTTCCAAGTCACTGGGTCTGGGACTCAAACCATGCAGGCAGCCATGTGCGATCCAGCACCTTAAGCTCCGTGCTATCGTTACTGAAAACCACCACTACTTTATGAATGTGCTGTGGTGTGATCTCGTCAGGAACTTGCTTTCCTTTTCTCTGCACGTGACTATGTCCCTCTAACCCTGCAACAGCATGTTCAGAGCGCACGCTCTCACCTGACGCTCAGTAGTCTCAACACAGGCGTGTGCTCGGCACGCTCGGGCGGTCACCCCCGGGTCCCGACGACTCCAGGTGCACTACGCCAGGCCTCTCCAAACAGTGCCAGCACAGAGTATAAACATCAGTAAATTTTTATTAACAAAAACTTTGTACATTTTCTTTTAATACATGTAGAATTTTACATCTAGGTAAAATAACAACACATTCAAAATTTACCATTTATACAAATTGTTACAGAATAACAACCAGTGGGTTAAATAAGTAAAATAAACCACACTGATTTTTTTTAATTATCTACAAAAGATTTGACTTTCTTTAAAATTCCCCTGAACATATAAAAATAAATTAATTTTACTTTTCAATTAAATCTACCAATTAGAAATATTACAAATCAAAATATCAATGTTATCTTATGAATTTTTCACAATACAAAACAGATTCACAAACCTTATTTACAGAAATGAGGTAAGAACTGTGCAATGTTTAACCAAGAGACATATTGCAGAATTAACGTGTTCTTCCAGCTGAGTACACAGTGGAGGTCTAAAGACAGCTGGGTCCTTTCCACTAAGAACTCCGCGTCTGCGAGCAGCTTGGTGACCGCGTCCCAGCTGCTGGATGGAGCTTGCTCGGCCACACCGTCACAGCAAGCGCGGCCGCCCAGCGTGTGAGGCTGGAGGGCGGGTTTCCCTGTCGCGGAACTGCGGTGGGAGGGTTCGTCTTGTTTTTAACAGTCAGTAATGGAGTTACTGAAATAAAAATACATATTCTTACCAAATCCACTCACTTTCTTGAGACTCGCCAGTGGATAAATACCCAGGTAAGTTCTGCCTGAGCTCTGCAGTGGCATCGCGGGTGGTTCACAAAGGCGGAAGCACGGGGAGGGCTGCGGCGGACACGCTCCTGCTGCTGACCAGGGCGGCCCGCGGCCAGTCGTCTGCTGGCCCCAGCCGCTTCCACACAATGGAGGTGTTAGTAGGCACTTGTTCAAGGCCAAACCCGACCACCGGAGTGGCCCCTCTCTCTGAAAAAATGTCTTTCACTATGAATTGATCTGGTTCTCCCAGCAGCCTTAGAACTCTCACTTAACTCAAGGTTTCTTTAAAATATGAGGTTCTTAACACTAAAGAAAAAGCATTCAACAAAAGAAAATTACCTTTAGCAAAAACAGACGTCACCATCCTAACTTGATTACCAAACTTGGCCAAATTCCATTAGAAAGGAAATTTTTAAAAACAAAGATGATGACCTATATACTTGCAATATTTAATCAATAAAACTCCAGGAGAAGTGGACAATTTCCTCAAAATTTGCTTTTAAGATCTGGCTCACAGAGCAAACATACTATATAACCCAAACAAGATCGTATTTCATGTTCCAACTTGTACAATAAAATCCAACTGTTTGTAAATGGATCGAGTCTTGCTATTCATCTCCAATTGAGAACAAACTAGCTGTACATCAGCCACACTGAACTTTTCTTGGGTTGCTAAAACTCACTGCGTGTAAATTTTTTCATCGACAAACATTAGTTACTAAATTTTTTTTAAAAGTTCAAAAATTGTGGGTGTGGGGGTACAGGCATTCCATCTCAGTGCAACGAAGCAGCAGGTTCAAGCCTCACAAGCACGTCCTTGTGGCAACGAGCCCTCTGCCGCTCGTTTCGTTTCTTGTTGCGTTTCTTCACAGCGGGAGGGGCAGGACCGCCACAGCAGCCAGGTGAGGGGCTGGGACAGCAGGACGGCGACTTCTAGATGTTTTCCAAGGGTCAACTTTTCTCTTGAGCTACAGGCCCAGTTTTATCACTAAGTCTCTATAGTTAAAAAACAACAACAAAATCAGATGCATTAGCAAAATCCATTTTTGGCCAACTTAACCAAAACTGTACACATACGGTTATTCCTTTTTTTCCCTGCAAGCAGGCATGGCAACTTTTTAGCACAGTGTAAAGACATGAATTTACTGGCAAAGTCTTAAGAAACATCGAATCCAGCAGTTTACAAAGATGAAGCAGATGGTGTGCTCACTTCAGGGCCAGGACTTTCAAGGATGAGTGTAGAATTCATCCTCCAAAATCAACTTTTCCACAGATACAGTAACAAGGTATTGTAGAAAATAAATTTTTCATAGACTCAGGAAGTTAAGAACTCTGATCCTATACCTGCTATCTGCCCTTCGAGCATGAATCTCTTTGAGGCAGTTTCCTTTCGCCCGATCTAGGGAAAATGGGGCTACGACCTGTTTCAGATCGCCGTCACATAAGCCGCTGCATCTAACAAGGACGCCTGGCACGTGGCGGGTACTCAGGAAAACACTCCCTCCCATCCCTGCTCTCCTGAATTATCCACTCAGGGATCTATTTTTACATTATTTACACTGGTGGTTTCTCCACTAAAAAATACATTCATATTGTATAATTCAGAGTTCACACTTCACTGAAAGAAAGAGTGGGGAAAACAGTAAAAAACAATGTAAATTAACACAGAATTGCTGAAGTTTCTCCTGTCAGTAAACACTGCAGGGGATGAGGTCTGGCATGACAGTATTCACAATCAGAAGTCAGCGAGACCGGGGCAAACAGAAGCAGTGAGGAAGTCATGGAAAACAACAGTCCTCTGCGTATTGCAAATTAATTCTCCTTGCTAAATACGAGCTAAACTTTCTCTAGACCAAAAGCACAGTAAACAGAAAACTTTCAAAGGAATGGGAATAGCCAACCCTGTGACTTTAGACACTTTCATTTGCCACGTCTTCCGCCTCATCCTTTCCTCCTTCCTTTTCTCGAGGCCCAGACTCCATTCTATACCAATATCCTTCCTCTAACAGGGTTCTGCCCTGAACTGGCATTTAGGGCAACTTTTACACTCCGGTAAATTAATAGAAAGAAACAGCCTTAAGACGTGTGCTACTGTCTGCGTAGAATACTGTTCCTGTATCCACTGTTAACGTATCTTAATTTTCGCACCGAAAGGTTTGATGCTACCTACCACTTACATAAAATAAACAATTTAAAAATTTAAATCCGATGACAAATATGACTGTGATGAGTATACAATTAGATCACTCACCCTAAAATTTAAATTCAAACTTTATTATAACTTACAATAAAGTTAAATAAATTCAGTTTTAAAAAGCACTATGGAGCAAACTAATAAAAATATTTCTCAATTACGTAGACTGATTCTGTAACGAAATGTAATTGAGCAAAGCTTCTCAAAAACACCAACTACTGTCTTTTGATCAGACTGTCTCACATAACTTGCTAAATAGAACATGCTCATTTTGAAAACTGCTGACTTATGTAACAGCCTTCAAACTGCAGGTGCAGATCCAAACTGATGTACTTGCAGGACAGACCAACTGGCCTAGGTCCTTTGTGTTTACAATACCTGCTGGAACAACTGGAGTTAGGAAATTTCCAGGAGGATGATATATCTAAAACAAAGGAAGAGGCTGGAGAAGGAGCACCTCTGGCTAGCCAACACACAATGCTTTTTATTATGTCAGAGGCCGAACGAGGGACGCATACTCACTGTTACTTTCTGACTTGCACTGTCTCCGTGGATGCTGAGAAATGGGTTGGTGGTGGCTGTGTGAAGTGGGGGCGCCTGAGTACCTGCAAGAAGGTTGTTTATCGGTATTTGTGTCGGCCCGGGGATCTGCAGCTGCTGTAGTTCAGGCTGGTGGTGCTGCTGGTGGTGCTGCTGCATTAACTGATACAGAAAGGCTTGATGCTGTTCCTTAGGCAAAAACACGTGGGACAAAATGAGTTCCCAGACACAGAACTCAGCCGTCAGTACAGCCCACTGTGACACTCTCTTCTTCAATGTCAGGCATTTAAGGGTCAGTCACACACACTGCTAAGAACACAAGCCTCGCATCTAGGACAAGATGTCGCACTAGACGGGAACCACCTATGAAATGCCAATATCACAGTGAACACCTGATTTTCAAAACTGGCCCAACCACAGGAGAGCTCCATTCAAAGCAAGTTACCCATGAGGACCGAGGGGCACAGCGACTCAGGTCAGTCTCGAGCCGTCTGTACTGGACTTCAGAATGCGCCATGTAGGTCTGACTTCCCACAGTCCTGCTCACGCTCCCAGCAACCTTAAAGGGCACCTTCTGGTGTAGTCACAGGTGCCCTTCGCTGCAAGCATGTGCCCACCACGTGCTTCCTGAGTGCCCACTAAGTACCAGAGACTGTTTTAGGTGCTGGAGACAGTGGGGGGAGGCGGGAGGGGAGGGGAGGGACAGACAACCAGCATGTTTGAATGTGATTACTGCTCAGGGTAAAGGGAAACAGGATGTGTGAGAAACGCTGATGGGAGCAGATCCCTAATTTTAAATACTGACGCTCCCCAACTTACTAGGTTCAATTTACAATTTTAAAAGATATTTATTTATTCATTAATTTACTTTAGTTTGACCAGAGGAAGACAGAGAGAGAGAAAGTGAGAAAGCAAGCCATCAGGTCCAGGCATTGAACCGTGGTCAGCCATGTGGGAGTGTCCAGCACTTTAACCACCATGCCACCTGCTGGTCCCCCAATTTACAATTTTTTGACCTTACGAAAAGTCAAAAGCATTCAGCAGAAACGATACTTAAAATTAGTAACTGGAATACATTTCAACTTCAGTGTTACTGGGACGTAATCCGGCCGTCCAGGAGCGGCTTGTACTGCTCAGGCAGGTTTCATCGCCAAGTTAACCCCTGGACAAAGACTTGGAGAACAGGAAGTAGCCAAGCGGATGTGGGGAGGGAACAGCCAGTGCCCAGACTGACGCAGGAGCATCTGGGCCATGACTCTGGGCCAGCAGGAGTCTGCTGGGCTGGAGAAGAATGAGTAAGAAGGAGAGCGACGAACGCGGGCTCCTTGAGGTAGACTGTGACGCTCTGGCTGTTACAGTGAAACGGGAAGCCAAGGGGTGATCGTGAGCGAGGTGGGACAAATGTGACTTTAGGGTTTCTTGATGGAGTCGGTGTGGGGTGTCAGAGAAAGGTAAGAAGGCAGGGTTTTTGGCTGGAGCTACTGGGGCCAAAGTTGCCATCGGGCCGCGGTGGAGAAACTACAGACTGGGCGAGTCTAGGGCGGCAGATCAGCCGCTGAGCTTTGGAGATGTTAACTGTGAAGTGCCTTTGAAGACAGGCAAGTGGAGTAGAAGAGTAAGCAGCTGTGGACAGGAGCCCGAGGTTTTAGAGAGTGGCCTGGGCTGGGGTGGTAGCTACCAGCCCACATTTACTTAAAGACATGGCTGGAGGAGACAGCCGAATTCTGAGTCACTTTCAAGTTTAGAGGCTAAAGAGAAAAGCCTTCTGAAAAGATGCTTTAAAAAAAAAAAACAAGAATGACCAGTTCAGTAGGGGAAAAAAAAAAAAAAAACAGACACTGTGGTATCTTGGAAGCTGAGGGAAGAAACTGCTACAAAGAGGAAAGGAGATTGACACGGTCAGACGCTGCTGCCCGGCCAGACACACGAAGGCTGCCACTGACCACAGTGTCCACTTCCACCACCAGGGCCTACGGGAGCAGTAGGGGAAAGGGCGGTGGCCCTGGGGACAGGCAGGCCCCACAGGGGCTTCTGAGGTGGAGGATGGATCGCAGAGCGTGCTTGTGGTCAAGTTCTTGTGACATGAAAAGATTTCACCCCCACATTGGAAAAAGTAGAGTTTAAACCCCTTAAGTCCTCAGAATCTCTGAGCAATAATTAGTATCAACCATGTTCTAAAAATGCTACATTTATATAAGCTATTACTATTATTAAAAGGAAGAGACCCAAATAAACAGTACTTCACATCACAATGAAGAGACAAGAGAACAAGATCACATTTTAGTGTGTTTAGAAGTTTATATACATGGGGCCAGCAGGTGGTGTGGTGGTTAAGGTTCTAGACTCCCATATGGCAGTCTGCAGTTCAAGTCCCAAACCTGGTGGCTTGCTTTCCCACTTTCTCTCTGTCTTTCTCTGGTAAAATTAAAACATAAATAATAATAACAAATAAAATAAATATATCATTTAAAAAAAAAGTTTATATACATTTGGGGTTGGCAGGAGGCCTGGTGGTTAAGGGCGCTGGACTCCCATATGGCCAACCATGTCTTGAATCACAGACCTGGAGGCTTGCTTTCTCATTCCCCACCCCTCACACTATCCCTCTCTGGTCAAATATAAATAAAATAAAATAAATATGTAAATAAAGTTAAATGAAATAATTCATTAAAAAAAGTTTATATACATTTTATCTTTATATCACTGTGAGAACAGTGAAAATCATGATTCAGAATGAAAATGAGCATTTTTCTTTTTTATTTTTTTTGAGAGATTTTTGTTACAGGACGTGTATGTTCGCTGGAGAGAGAGACAAGAAATGAGAAATCACCCCATAGATGGGACCAGAAGTTAGTGTAATGGCTATGTTGCTGGGCTCCCATGTAGTCGACCGCAGTTGGAGTCCTGGACCCGGCGGCTTAAACTCACACCGGGCGCGTGTGCGTGCGTGCCCAAGATCCTGAGAGAATGGAGGAGAAGGGACTGTGGCGTGGCCATCCCCCCCTCGGGGGGTGATTTCTCGCTTTCTGTCTCTCTCTTTCCAGCAAACGCATGCGCCCTATAGAGAAAACCTTACCCAAAAAAGAGAAATCACCCCTCAGAGAGGATGGCCACACCGCAATCCCTTCTCCTCTCAGGATTTTGAGCACGCATACACATGTGCTTGGCGTGAGTTTCAAACCGAACCATGTGGGAGTCCAGCATCTTAACCACTGTATACCACCTGCTGTTCCCAAAAATGAGTATCTTCAATACATCGTTTCTTGTCAGAATTCTTTTCTTGCAGGATTCCTGGTTTACATACAATCACACACACTGAGTACTTTTACCACAGCGACACTGTATGTAGTGTAAACAAAGCCTGCCACCTTGTGATAATTAACAACACATTTCCCCAGCAGCCAAGGAAATGGAGTGTGTTGGGAAGAAGAGGTGAGGCTACACCCGTTGGCCAGCACCTCTTGCCACCACTCCCCTCCCCCGACTCCTGAGGCTGGCCCTGTCCTCGCTCTTGAGCCAGGCAACCCCACTCAGTGAACTCTTTATCCCTTTCTCCAAGAGACCTATTTCACTGCTTCTCTGCCTCCTGACCATCAATATCACTCTCCCCCACACTTTGCTAATGATTTTATTTCTCTCTTTCTCTTTTTTTGTCATAGGTTGGGTACATTCACAAGGGGGGGCTGAGGGAGGTAAAGCAAAAAAATCAGATGCCCACGCCGCTATCCCTTCTCCTCCATTCTCCTCTCAGGATTTTGAGTATGCACGCACATGTGCCTGGCATGATTTCCGAGCTGCTGAGTCTGGGGCTCAAACTGTGCTTGGCCATGTGAGAGTCCACTCCCTTAACTACGGCCCATGCCACCTGCTGGCTTCTTAATTAAGGAAATTACCAACATTAAAGGTAGGATTTCCTCACCCTTATGCCATTAGATCCCACCCCTCCCAAAGAGCAGCCCAGCCTGTGGTGTTTCCAGAGAAATGCTGTTCTCATCTCCTTTTCTTAAGAGGGCTGTCCCTCTAGAACCCGCCCCCCAACACACACACACCGGGAGTACACACAGGAGCAGACAAGCCCCTGTACAGCACGTCAGTCTGTCTCCTGTGGTCCATTTCCCTGCTTTATAGTAAAATATCCCAAATTGCCTACACTCTACCCTCACTTTTCCTTCTCTTGTTTTCTTCTGAACAACTTTAATAAGGTTTTACAGCTACTGAACAAAAACTGCCTTTACCAAAAACTTCTAGACAAGCAAACCCAATTAATGATCATTTTTTTTGTGGGGATGGGGTGTCAATCCTTCATTTCCTCCAGTTGACTCCTCCTTTCCTAAAAGCATTTCTTTCACGTGGCCCCTAAGACATCACTCAACTCGCTCACTAGCCACTCGCCTCACCGTCCTTTACCGGCTCATCCTCCTGGTCTAGGCGGCCAGGGCTCGCTCCGTCCTCACTCTCTAGGAGACATGGCACAACTTGCTGCTCTCGGCATTATCTACCCCCATGAAGCCCAAGCTTCTATCTCTAATGGCATCTCTTCCCAGGACTCCAGCCTCGGCTACAACTGCCTGGTCTACATTTCACTTCTTAAAAGCCTCAATTTTAGTATGAGCTGATGAAACATTTGTTTTCCCTCCAAAACTGGCTTCCTCCTATTATTCCACATCATGGTAAAAAGTCAACATCCAGGGACCAGCAGAGGGCCTAATGGTTACGTCGCAGTACTCCCATGTAGTCAGCCATGGTTCAAGTCCTGGACCTGGCAGCTTAAAACATGCCAGGCCAAGTGTGCGTGTGTGCTCAAAATCCCGAGGGGAGAGTGGAGGAGAAGGGATTGTGGCATGGCCATGCCCCCTGGGGGGTGATTTCTCACTTTCTGTATCTCTGTCTCTGGCGAGCACATGCACCCTATAGCAAAAATCACTCTAAATAAATAAATGAATAAAAGTCAATAGCCAATTGTTCAGCATTCTTTTTCTTTTATTTCTTCTAAGTGTTGTTGGTTCTACCCTCAAAATACACAACTTGAGACCATTTTTCACTACACAGTCTACACTATCTTAGGATGTCAACCCCATCTCTTACTTAGACCATTCTAAAATGGGACTACCCCTTCCTGTTTTCTATTTTTGCCCTATCACGAGGCCAGACAGTACTGCAGTGGTAAAATGCCATGGTCTGCATGGCAATCCTAAATGAGAAGATTCCAGATTTAAATCCACAGAACCCTGAGTATACTGGGCACACACTCAGGGCTGGCTAAAGTTGGGCTGGAATGTAGAATCAGAACTCTGTTGGCAGTTCTGTCTCACTCAAAGAAGGAACAAACTTTTTTAAAAATGTAAATCATGTCACTGTTTTATTTAAAGTCCTGGGGCCACCATGTAACATGGTGGTTAAGGCGCTGGACTCCTACATGGCCGACCATGGTTCAAGTCCCAGACCTGGTGGCTTGAAAATCACGTGGGGTACATATGACTTCAGTGTACTCCCAGGAGAAGGAGAAGAGGTTGCAGTGTGGCCATCCTCCCTGGTGGGTGATTTTTCACTCTCCTTCTCACTGTCTCCCGCCAATGAGAGCACAGGGCCTATGCCAAAAACCTTAAAAAACAAAAACAACAGCAGCAACAACAAACCCTCAAATTCTTTTTCTTTTTAAAGAGAGATTTTTACTATAGGGTACGCGCACTCACGAGAGACACAAAGACAGCGAGAAATCACTCCCAGGGGGGATGGCCATGCCTCAATCCCTTCTCCTTTATTCTCCTCTTAGAATTTTGGGCACATACACACATGTGCCTGGCTTAAGTTTTAAGCCAATGGTCTGGGACTCAAATCACAGTCAATTATGTGGGGGTCCAGCAACATAACCATTATTCCATCTGCAGGACCCAACCCTCAAATGAAACAAGATTAACAAGATCGGGATAATTATTAAAGCCAAGTGACAAAGAGAGGGATATAGGGGCTTTGGTGTATTCTATTCTCTACTTTTAGTACACCTGAAAACGTCCATAATAGGAAGGTTTGTGCGTGTTTGTTTTTAAAATTACCAATAGCTTTCCATCACACCTAAGATAAAATCCAAATGTCTTGGCACAGGTCAAAAAGACACTCCCATGGCCTTCTAGACCATGGTCCCTTGGAGCCCCTCTGCTCCAGCCTCCCTCTCTGCTGCAGCCTGTAGCCTGCCCTCTCGTCTCCAACACATGGCACAGGCCTGGGTCCTTCACAACTGCTGCTCCCTTTACCTTGGATGTGCATTCTCTCATCTGCCCCCTAAGTCAAAAGGCGTATTTCTCCAGGTGCATGTGTGTGTGTGTCCAAAAATCCTGGGAGGACAATGGAATGCTGCATGACCATCCTCCTGGATGGGTGCTTTCTCACCCCGCTCCCCCACCCCCAGCCTGGTCTCTCTTCAGCAAGTGCATGCACACTATAGGAAATAAAAAGCATACTCCTTCAACTTGTATTCAGCTCTGTGCTCAAAAGCCACCCCCTCAAAGAGGATAGATCATCCTATCCACAGTGGTCCTCGTCTCACTGCTTTATTCTTCTTCTCAGAGTTAGCAGTACCGAGGACCAGGTACTGTCAATCTGCCCTATGAGAATGAAGAGCATGAAAATATAGACATGTCTTTATTTCTCACCCTATCACCAGTGCCTACAACAGTGCCATGTCACATGTTCTAATGTTTATAAATGAATAAATCAATGTGACATCACTACAGGTACCACAGATCATACCAAATGGCAAGAAAAACTTTTTGGATTATGCATTCAATAATGTTATTTCACAAATGAGTAATCTACACCCCCACTGAGTATCTATTATAGCTTAGAACACTTGTTCCTAATAAAAAATATTATCAAAAGGAATAACTTACTGGTGTGAGTTGTTGAGAATTTAACAACTGCTGAAATTGCTGTTGATGAATAAGTATTTGTCTTTGCTGGTCAGAAAGTAATCCTAGTCCTGAGGCACTGAAAAACGATTAAAATTCTTACTTTCCACTATATACTGCTAATGTATTTTTTTAATGTAAAATGAAAGACTTTTCCATTTGATGTTTAATAAACTAACAAGTTTTTAATCATATACTTTTGAAAGCAACTATGTACAAATTATTTTTTTGTATCTGAGGGGACTTCAAAAAGTTTGAGTAAATGGAATGTACGAGCTTTTCTGATACAAAATTTTTGAAATCTATGCACTTTCTAAAATCATATGCATTTTTACATTAACAGAATTCACTTGGAAAGAATTTCTTTTTTACTATAGACCAAATAGCACTAACTTGTTTTGTGTAACGGAATTTACATGACTTACTTTTAATTATTCAAAGATAATTTGACCCGGACTGGTCCCATAGTGCAGTGATTAAACACTACCTAGAGAATGGGCTCCCATATTGCTAACTTAAGTTTGAGATCAGATTCTGGTGGCCTGAAAAATACACCAGGCATATGCATGGTGTGTCTGCCCCAACTCTTGACAGGATGGAGAAATGGAGGAACAAGGATTGAGGCATGACCACGCTCACAGGGGGTGCTCTCTCTCTCTCTCTCTAATGAGAGCATATGCCCTCTGACAATTTGAAAAAAAAAAAACAAAACATAATTCGACCTACATCAAGTAACAAGAAAGAATCTAAACATAACACCGATTTCACCTAGCCTTTTGTCATGATCCCAATGGTCAGTAAAATCAAGCAACAGTAAAAAGAGGCCCAGCCATGGTGGTGCAGTGGCAGGGTGCCGCCATGTAGTAATGGAGCCATCGGAGAAGGTCCCAGGTTTGACCCGAGCATGGCAGGTACGTCTACGGAAGGTAGGGGTGGGGTGAGTGTGCATATCGCAGTGCAGTGAGACCCTGCCAGGGAACTCATGTGTCTATCCATCTGTTTCTCCCTCTCTCTCATGAAAGAAAGTTTAAAAAAAAAAAAAATGAGAGAGCCAGATGAAATAGCTGACGAGTGCCCACTGCAAATCCATTTCAAATGATTTATTTACCCAAAGTGTGTTTAATAACAACATGATTTGGTCCCCTTATTTTGAACAAACATTCAAATGAAATTTCTGTACTATAAAATCAGTAAGTCTCAATTCCTGCAAATTCAAGATAAATATTTGATTTTCGCCCTACAGCAAAATATAGCAAAGTGATTAGACAGCTAACAAAATTACATAAGTTTTAAGAAACCAATATTGATATTTGATCCCCTTTACAATATTACCTTTTCTCAGAATTTATAATACATAGACATAATATACAAAGGAATAAGAAAAATGAACATTTAAAACTAGTCATCACAGATCAAGACTAACATTTTCAACAAAGAATATATTTAATATTATTAAAAGCAGTTTAAATTTGTTTTAATCTGAATGACTTCAGTTTCTAAAATAAATATCCTGTGGGTATAATATTCTTAGTTTAAAAGTTTTGATTAGATTATCTTAAGAGTACATTTACAAGGAACATGTCAAAAATCCAAATCTAAAGCACAGATAACACTGGCACTACATTGCACTTGAAGACCCCAAATACATTTAAGTGAGTTTCTTACCTGTTCGTCAGTGTGGCTGGCATTGGATGTGTTGCATTAGGTGGTACAGTTGTGTGAGTGAGGGGAGTGGGGTTCTGGGATATTGTGACAGGGGTCTGAATAACCCCATTTAAAGCTCCTACAATGCCATTAATTGCCAGCTGGCTACCTGGCAAAGCTCCAATTATCCCACCCACTGCAGACACGGCAGGGATGGTGGGTGTTACGGTCTGCATTCCGCTACCTAGTGCCCCCACGGTCACACCAGCTGCACTCCACTAACTCCTGAGCCTTGCTGAGCTGGACTCTGCCCAGCAGGAGGTGGGGTAGAAAGAGCTGATGAACTACTGGTGCTCTGTCCACTGGAGGTCAAGTCCTAATAGAAGAAAGAACAGAAACTTCAGTTGTAAAGAACACAGCAACACTATTTAATTTTAAATAGTTTAATGAAAATACTATTACTCACAAGTAAAACATGCAAATGAAAACAATAACAATAAGATTTACCTGATTTAATACTGGAAGAGAATTATCAGGTAAAAAACTGTTTCCTATATGAGGGCTCTTACTGCTGTTCAAGGAATCAGTAGTAGGAGCTAGAATAATAAAAGACAAAAATAAACCCATTTACCCTCTTAAATTACATTATGCATAAGATTAAAGGCTTATATAAAAGCTTATGATGAAGCCTGTATTAAAAACACTTTAATATTAAAGTCTTGCTAAGACCAGTTTAAATGGGGGGGGAGAGCTATTTCTATTGAATATAATAGCTTTAAATCCTTAATGAGATCAATATATATTTAAATATATTTTACCACTGAATTACGTATTTAAGAGCAAATTCAAGTCTATCACTTAATAGGCTTCTTCATGCTATTCTAAAATAATCCACCCAGCCAACCCTACAGCACAGTGGGTAAGCACTGTGCTTTGAGAGCTAAATCCCATATGGAAAACCACAGTTCTAATCCTGGCTCTGGTGACTTTAAAAAAAAAAAAAAAAAAGCCAGGGACGTGTGGGAGCATGCCTAAAATTCTAGAAAAAGAGGGGAAAAGGGCTGTAACATGACCATATTCTGTGGGTGCTTACTCTCTGTCTAGAGATACCCTCTGGCAATTAAAAACATAATAACCTCATAACCTTTCTTTTTTAAGGGCATGTGTGCTTGGTGGAGAGAAACAGAAAGAGGGAAAGTGAGAAATCCCATGGGTGGATGATCACATCATAATCCCCTCTTCCTCCATTCTCCTCTCAGGATTTTGGGCATGCACGCACTCACACAGCCAGTGTGATTTCCAAGTGACAGGGTGTGGGACTCAAACTGTGGTCAGCCATGGGTAAGTCCAGCACTTTAACCACCACACTACCTGCTGGAAGCCCCCATCGTTCCTTTTCCTCTTCATGTAACTGGTGGCTAGTTATCACTCACTTATTACACACATGACATTAGATATCTACCCCATTTTCTTCAGATACAAAGTAAGTACTGATAGTCTCACTTACCAGTCTGTGCTGAAAATGCATGCACTGGATGAGACGGGCTAGGATTTGTTGTTATTGTTGGAAAAGGCACTGAAAGTTGTGCATTTAATAACTGAAGACGTTCCTTTTTGGCAGTCAAATTTTTAATTTGCTCCTCTAATCTTCGATTTTCCACTTGAAGTTGGTGTAATGACTTCAGCATTCCTAAAACTAGCAAACATGCATGATTTTTAAAAAGCTTCAGAAACATACTCACACTATGTTCCCCACGCACCACTGCACCCAGCATGGATGATTTTTAATAAAGACAAGTCATGCATAGGCCTAAGTATTTTATGGACATAGTGTAAATAACCTCAGGAATACATTAAAATCAAAAGAAGAAATTCTATAAAATATTTCTAAGTGATTAGGTTTTATTCCTGGATTTATATGTAGGTATAAATGCCATTTATATTTGTACATTTATAAACATAAATATACCTTTTGGAAACTCTGTTGCTAAAAAAATCCCCAACAAGGTTCGGGTAATTTCTATTGTCAAAGAAAAAAATGATGACGACATTTTATTTTCATCAAAATAAAATCCTAATAAAAAATTCAAAGTGCCTGCCACTACCATTCACTAAAGTCTTATTTACAGTGGAAAGGATCACACACCTTTTACCACAATAAAGAGCACTCCTTTCTGTTTGCTTGGTTAAACTACTGCAGCCACAGACACCAGGCAGGGAGCCTCCAATTCTAGTTGCTCAGCATGTCGCTCTGCAGGTCCCCCAGCAGGGGGCGCTGTGAGTGCACCCAGCTACCGCTATTCCCAGAGAAAGGCAATATCTCTGGGAAACGGGCTGACACCCAGTCCTCCTCCATCACCCCAAATACTGATTCACTCCTTCACGACCTGGATCTCCCAACTGACAACGTACAGTGCTGCTATTAGGCCACAGCGATGGGCACTTTAAAAATTCTATGTGTTAAAAAGTTTTACTTGGTTAACATGACCTCAGGGGCCTTCAAAAGTCACCACTCCACTGGTACAGACACATACGGTCATTTCCCAATGATTTAACTTTTATCCCTCCTCTTCAAAATCCCACAGAAACCTTCAGTGCGCCCAAATGAGATGCAGTAAGGCTAAGCTAAACCTGTCCTCCAGCTATTGCGTTTAAAGGATTATCCCGGCATGAATTTTTTCTCAATTAGCATTTTTTGGTCAGGGCTCCATTCATAAAAATACAATTTTATGGCACTTGGTTCACCAACAATAAGCAGAATGTTTTGCTTTAATAAAATAAAGCAACTAGTGTTTATAACCAAAATGATGAAAAGTACCTATTATCCCCCTCCCCCGAAAAAAGTATCCTTAATACCAGCACCAGGCCGCTACTCCAGCTACCTGCCACCTGGTGTAACTCCACTACATGGGCATCTTCACCCACAGCGCCAACATATAAAACCATAAGGATACTAAACATGTACACACAATATGTGCTATGTAAGATAATATAATTTAATATATGGTATGCTAATTATATACATGTAAAAGTGCTGGATGTACTTGATTGATTAAATACACTTTTAAACACTGATTCTACAGAAGGGAGCAAGTTTTCCTCAAACAACTGAGCTCAGGATGTTAGTTAAACTGCAAATGGTAACCAGCTAATATGCAGTACTTTGTATAAGCCAGGCAATGTTCTTCCATTTTCCATCTGCTCATTTAATCCTCACAAGTCTCCAATATAACCACATTATAATTCTCAATGCTACTAATGGAGGAGACCAAAGAACTTCGTAACTTCCCAAGGTCACGCTAATAGCAAACACACAGGATTCGTGCCCAACCAGCAGCACCGTAGAAATCTATTAAACCACTACTACATTATACCTTCTCACCATGCTATGTAAAAGTACGTCATTTCATTACTTCTTGACGAAGTCACGTTTGCATCCATTCATCTGCGTGTCCATCCAACTGTCCACCTATCCATCTTTATTTAAAGATAAGAAAATGCGTACTTACTGTCACTAGGAGTACCCTGTTCTAATAAAAATTGCTGTCCTTCACTCCACTGCCTCTCCAAAAGCTGTTCTATGCTGGCTGCTACTGGAGGCAGATTTTCCAAACTGCTGTTGCCTGGTTGATCATAGCGAATCTGTAAGCTGCTTACAGGAGACCTGTTGAAGACATTAGTGCTCGAGTTAAAAACAACGGAATTGCTTTCAAGGAGACTGCATTAAAATGTCATACGTTACCTTACACGGACCCCTTTTTCCTGTACAAGTTTTCTAACACCAGGCTGCCCAAACCAGAGTATCAGGTTCCTGAATTTATAAAAACCACAATCTATTCTAAAATTGAGAAATTATCATTCTTCCTTAACAAATTATAAAATCAACAGAATAGCTAGTCATCCTAAATAATCAAAAGCCACTAGAAGATGTAAACTCACTATCCACAATCTCTCAAACACACTGTAAAAGAAAACTGGTATGCCTTTATTAGATGAAAGAGAGAAAGGTAAGTTCACAAAGACTGCAAAATAATTAGCCAGAAGAGTTCCACTATTCTGCCTTAATATATCTATCACAATGACACTGTACAACTATAATGCTAGAGAAGGTCTTCAGATTTAAAACCAACAAAATCTCAAATACCAGTAAAATGAAATGTTTAGCAATTTTGAGCGGACTTCTGTCATAAATTCACAATCCCTTATTTTCAAGTACAGTCATGGGCTGTGCCACCTCTGTCAATGGCACACCACACACCTGATGGCAGCTCCCCAAACAAGCTGTGCCAGGAGTGCACAGGCGACCCCATGGAGGTCTGTGTGGGTATGCTCCATGACGCTGGACAACAACGAGCTGCCTGGCGATACGTCTCTCAGACTGTATCCACACTGCTGAGCAACGTGTGCTAGCTGTATTTACAGTAGTAAGGCACATTATTAAGGCCAACACAGTTTTTCTTTGAGCCTTTTATACAAATATTTCTAAAATGTCTTGGATCTGCATGCACTTCAAATGATAAGCACTTAATCAACCCTTCCAAAACAAATACTTCTTTTATATTTAAGAAGAATGTGTTGGGGGACCATCGGATGGTATAATGGTTACGTCACTGGACTCCCACATAGTTGAACGTGGTTTGAGTCCCAGACTTGGCAACCTAAAACTCATGCTGAGAGGGAGACCAGCAGATGTCATAATGGTTACACTGCTGTCCCTCATAGTTGACCATGGTTTGCGTCCTGGACCAGGTGGCTTGAAACTTACACCAGGCGTATGTGCCCAAAATCCCAAGAGGAGAACGGATTGCAATATAGTCATCCCCGTCGGGGGTAATTTCTTAGTGATTTCTCACTTTCTGTCTCTCTGTCTCTTTCTGTCTTTTTGGTGAGTACATGCACCCTATAGCAAAAATCTCTCTCTCAAAAAAAATAACTTTCTGGGCTAGCCAGTGGTGTTGAGTTTAAGGCACTGGATCCCACGTGGCCAACTGTGTGGTTCGGAGTCCTGGACCCTTGGCTTGAAAAACACATTGGGTGGGGCTAGCAGATGGCGTAATGGTTATGTTGCTGGACTCCCACATGAACATAGCTCAAGTCTTGGGTATGGTGGCTTGAAAATCTTGCTGGGCATGTGTGTGTGTGTGCATACCCAAGATCCCAGGAGAATGGAGGAAAAGGGACTGTGAGGTGGTCATTCCCGCATGATTTCTCACTGTCTGTCCCTCTCTCTCCAGCCATCACACAAGCCCTCTATGGCAAAAACCTCTTTAAAAAAAAAAAAAAGAAAAAAAATAAGAAAGAAAAGAAAAGAAGAAATACTGAATAAGTAAAACACTGTAAAGAAAAAAATACATGTACACTGGGTGCATGTGGATGCATGACCAGAATCTCAAGAGGATACTGAAGAAGAAGTGACTGTGGCATTACTGTCCCCCACTGGGGGTGCTTTCTCACTTTCTTTTCTCTCTCTGTCTCTGGTGAGCACACACACGTTAGAGCCCCCTAAATGAAACAAAAAGAACATGTCATGTTCTCTCATCTACCTTTTGTCTTAAATTAGTAAATGTGGTCATTTCTGGCCTCTAACCTTCATTCTAACAATGCATTAGTGAGTGCTCCAATATAATTATATAATCTTCACAACAACCTAGTGAGAAGTCAAAACCTGGCTTATTAGCTCCATTTCCAAATGAAGAAACAAGATGGGACATCAGTGACGTGTCTAAAGTCACTGCTGATTAAACAACAGAGCTGTGGTGACAAATAGGGTCTTCTGACAACCCCTCTGTGCTTTTGCCATCGCCTTAATAATTCTTCTCTACAGAAATCTCTAAGAGCCAGCAGGTGGCATAGCGGTTAAGGCGCTGGATCCCACAAGGCCAATTCCTCGATTTGAGTCCTGGATCTGGCAGCTTGAAGTCACTCTAGGCACTTGTGTGTGTGTGTGACCAAAATCACGAGAGAATGGAAGAGAAGGGATTGTAAAGTGGCCATCCCCTGTAGGAGGTGATTTCTCACTTCTCTGTCTCTCTTTGGTGAGTGCACATGCCCTCTGGCAAAAATACCAGGAAAAAAAAAAAAGAAAGAAAAGAAATCTCTTTAAATTAGAAGAGATTTCTAACTACCATTAGTTCGCCAACAAGTTAAAAAATAAGGCTCTACTAGACATACCATGAACAAATAGAAAAGTGAGGGGTTGCTGTAGTAACCTCTGTAAAGAAGATTTTCCTGACCTGAAATTAGCGAAATAGACCAACAACTCAGATAGTCATGGTTTGTCATAGCACAAAGCTTTTCGTTTTTAACAAAAATTCTCCCATACTTGAAAAAAAGACAGAGAATGGCCTTTTATTCCTTGTGTACCATTCCTGAGGTAAAGTTTACATAATCAGACTACAGAGAAAACAAAGTAGGATGTACAGAAGTTGAAAAAAAAATTAATAAAAAGTCAACACTAAACTTCCATTCTCTTGTATAAATGGACACAATATTCCATACCAGCATTCCTCCCATTTAAAGCAGAAGGAATACACAGTTCCATAACCTCAACATTTCTTAGTAAATGGTATCTGAATACTGCCATCTAATATCTAAGATAATTTTGAAACCATGTAATACATTTTCTATGGTCTGATTCAAACAATTAAATAACCAGGGGGAGTTCAGAAGTCTAACCCCAAGAGGTTGCTACTGAAATATGAACTAGGGACTATGGGGGTTCACTGCATTGCCCACAACAGAGTGAAGGCTGGAACCCAAAGTTGAGATGCTTGAGTCTGTGGCTTTAATGGATTTTAAGACTAATGAGACAAGCCTGTGGTGGGTAGTTAAGGCGGCTAGATGCTTAATGGCTGAATACAATTCCAGTTCTGGACCTGGTGGCTTAAAACACATGCTAGGTGCATGTGTGTGCACGCCCCAGATACTGACAGGATCGAGAAAAAGGAGAAGGGACTGCAGTGTGACCATGCTCCATGGGGACACTTTTTCCCTCTCCCCATCTCTTTCTTTGGCAAGCACACTTGCCCTTTGGCAAAAATTAGAGGAGAGAGAGAGAGAGAGACTATTTTATAACCAAAATCATTACCCAATCAACTCATTAAAGTACCTGCAGCTACAGAAACAAATGTTGAAAGTAAAAGAGTTCTGGGACCAGCAGTTAACATAATGGTTATGTCGCTGGACTCCCATGTAGTCAACCGCAGTTCGCGTCCCAGACCCAGTGGCTTAAAACTCACGCTGGGCATGTGTGCGTCCATGCCCAAGATCCGAAAAGGAGAATGGAGAAGGGATTGCGGTGTGGCCATCCCCCCTGGGGGGTGATTTCTCGCTTTCTGTCTCTCTGTCTCTCTCTCTCTGTCTGGAGAGTGCACGCGCCCTATAGCAAAAAAAACTCTCCAGAAAATAAATAAAATAAAATAACAACAACAAAAAAAAAAAATAAGAGAGTTCAAACTGATTGGAAACCGAAGAAAAATTATTTCTTTTAACTTAGAATCTAATCATGTGCTTAAATTAATATTCAAATTACTTTAGAGCCATTTTTCTGGAATGTCTAGACAAGCTTATCTACAGAATGCTTTCATAGCCTCACAAATATACATTCCCCTGAAACAAGATAACAAGTTTCTAAATCTCAGACATTTCCTTCCCCTACTTTGCAGGGTAACCAGCACTTGCTTACCGGGGTGAAAGACTTCCTCTGGGTGAGCTTCCTCTGCCAGCCAGGCTGCGAGTATTGTCTCCAAGATCTTGATCTGCAATGTAAATATTTCAGAGCTGATAAAGTGACTCTCAGTAGATAAGAGTTTTTTAAGCTCTTGCTCTGATTTCTCCCCCAAAACATACATTCAACCTTTACCCGTCTTTGCAGTTACTCTAAAAGCAGAAGATCTACCACGTTGTTAGCTTAGAACTGGTGAACTGTGGCACGTCAGGCGTTGTCCCTACA